CAGGGCTGTTTTAATTTAGACATATTCAAAGATATTCAAAAAACACTGAAAATGAGAACATGTATCTTGAATTAGGTAAGATTGGGAGGTGTCGGGAACATCTGACAGTGGCTAATGCTGTGGCATCAAATAATGTTTTCAAATTGAGAAACTGCCAAATATCGATACCACCATATAGACGGCAACATGTCCAATTTCCCAAAAATCACCAAATTAAGTAATGCCAAAGTAATGCCAAAATAAAGTGCTTCTTAGTTTAAACATTTTTGAAAGAATAAATTGTCCAGAGTATACAAAGCAGCTTGGTGTCTATCAACACTTCAACTGACAACATTTTTTGTAACCACTCATTTATGTATGCAGTCATAGACTGTTGTAGTGCAGAGAGTAGCATTTAATAAGGCAGTGGATACCTCTAGTTTAATATAGAAAGTAAGTATTTCTTTGTAATTATTTTCATTTCACATGTATTACACATGGATATTACTAATATATATAATTAGCAAAAGTGTTTTATTATTATTAAAGATGGACTTTGAATGGGAAGAATACAATTCAAAGGAGCATGTAAATTATCACAAACAATTTCAGACGATCCTAACTTGCATATTGAATATTTTCTGACCATGAACATGTGTGTATCTTTTAGACCCATGTGTGATCTTCAAGAAAAGTGGATATAATGATGATTTAGTTAATCAGACCTAAGTGAAATTAAGGGGCAATGGCTAATCAAAATACTTTTTCAAAAATGTTGACCTAATTTTCACCAAAAATGCAACCTTTTATTATATTGTTGAATGCATAATTAGAATGTGTTTGGAGAAATGTTTGATTTTCTAAAAGGAAAAGTTGATTGCTCCAGGAACTTAAAAGATACTAAATTTGGATGACCACATTGAACTGAAACCAATGGATAGCATGAGATTTTTCAATGGAGAAATAACATGGGGAACACTAATCTTAGAGTAATTCAGTTTTTCTTTCAAGAACAATTTGATACATCAAAATAAAGAATAGTAACACATTAAACATTGTAAAAATGATTGCATTTTTGGTGTAAATGAGGTCAACATCTTTGAAAAAGTATGTCGATGGGTTGATTGCTTGTTAAATATCTCTAACTCCATTTGACTTTATTATTATTGTATATAATTTTCTTAGTGAATGGATCTAAAAGATATACAGAGTCTTCATGGTCAGAAAATAGTCATGATCCAAGATATAACTGTCTGACATTGTTTGTGATAACCTACCTGAACCTTTTATAATGAACAAGTTTCGCAGGAAAAAATTGAAATTTCGGAACAATTATCATTTAGATTCTCAAGAGTAGACATCAAACAATGTTTTAAATCATATAGAAATGGTTGAAAACTACATACTTGAAAAAATTGAAGGACAAAGTGGGAATTAAATGTTAGGTTTACACAGCAAGAGGTTTCAGTTGTTATCCTTTCAAAGGAAATTAGATGGAAATCGCTAATATTTCACATATAAAATTTGACAGCAATTCAGATGTGCTTTATTATCATTCAATTGCTAATTAATTACTTTTGTTCAATTTATAAGCAAACAGAATCAGCTTCAGAGAGGAGACAGTCAAGAAGAATTCCAACATGGCGGTTCAGAGAAGAATCGCTTTTGTAACAATGGCTATATGTATGATGGTTGTCATAGGGACAAGTGCCCAAAGGTCAACAATACTAAAAGGCACTTGTGTTTTGGAACCAGAGAACACTGGATCTGTGAGGACTCAAGTTCGAACAGATGGTATCTATATTTAAATGTTATTCAGGCTATACAGGGTGGGCCAAAAATATCTAGTTCATATTTTTCTTTTGCCATGATTTTTTCAATTGGGCAAAGATTAAAAAAAAAAAATTTTGTTTTTTTGTTGGAGATGATCAATCCTGCAATTGTTCTACTTAAAAATAACTTAAATATACATGTACATATTATTTTATATTATATTTCGATAAGAAAGGTTAACATATAATTTATCATCAACCTCTGACCCTATTATATTTTCCATTGAATGATTCAGGTAATACCACAAATAGCTTGGATATTGAGCATCTAGAAAACGCAATAGAAGAACTCAAAGCAAGAACAACAGCCCTAGAAGAAGCACTGTCCATTCAGGGGAATACAACAAAGACTGGCAATGTTAATGGTAAGAACTCAAAATTTGCCTTGATTGTCGAATTTTGTACTCCTCTTATTTTGAGTTACTAACATATGGTGAAAAAAGTTTTAATGCCTACCACATGCGATTTTGTACTTAACACACAGTGATAATGAGATAAATTATAATCAAACTTTAAGAACAAAATTGCACGAATTGTCTTATATTGTCTATGTGTTACTAGATTTACAGGGGTGTCCAATATAAATGATCCCCTTAATTTATTCCTACAAATTCCAAGGACTGTAATATCATATTATCACTTAAAATAATTTGATTCCCAATAAAATGATACAAGTACAATATTCAATACATATGGAGATTAATTCTGGCAAAGTATTTCTTCTTTTTGGAAAACCTGGGTAAATATGCTAATTCCTAAATAACGTACCAAACATGTTCCAGAAAATAACTTGGGAAAGTTAAACCATGTTTTCAAAAATGCCTCTTATTCATTTATTTATTTATTCATTTAGATATACAGTTTTTTAACAGTGGCACTCTTACATTAAGGTGCATCTAATCGAAAAATATTGGTAATGCCATGTTGGTTAAAAACTAAAATGAGTCTTAAAAAGAATAAGAACATATATTTACTTAAAATCTCATTTAGAAAGCTTTTTACAAAGGAGTTGAATAAAACACCATATATATTTAGTATATAATTCATCTGGAGACATAATTTCATTTTCATTTTTTAAAAAACTAATTTCTTTATAGAGGGTTACGGAGAGTCTAGAGATCATCCTGGATCTAGCTGTAAAGACATTCAGCGAAAGAGAAGCGGAAATGAAAACCTGAAATCTGGAACATACTGGATTCGTTTCAATTCAACATACATTGTTGAAATGTTCTGTGACATGGAAACTGACAACGGAGGCTGGACATTAGTGTGGACTTATGGATTTAAGCATAAAAACCACTTCAGTTCAAAACGTAACTATGTTATCCCACGCCCAAATTGGAATACGCGAATGTACGAGACAGATATCGCAGATGACATCTCTGTTACGCCACCAAAGAATATCACAACACCAGGTGCACTAAACTTCCCTTTATGGAAATCAATTGGTCAGGAATTTTTGATTACATCTAACGTGAATAACTGGTTTAGGTGTAGGCCGAATGGTGGAAATTTGGTAGAGATGGAATTTGGACCAATCAGTTGTCACCTAGTGAAGATTACAACCAAATTGTGCGAAGTTCAAGGAGCAGTTCCATACCGGCTATCGAAAGAACCCTGTGGCCCTGCTTTGAGTGGAAGTGGGAACTTTTATTACTTTGAGGGTTGTGGGTATAGTGGACGAGGAACTGGGCCACCAGTACATGATCCATGTGGATATGGTACAATTTACGGGTACATCAGCTACCTGGATAAATTTCTAATTGAGGCACAAGGACATATTTTTATTCGCTAATTCCTTCAATCTTACAACATGGGATATTTAAGGTTCTTAATTAGGCTGAAAAGTTTAAAAATGTGAAAAAGATGGCTCTCACTATCACTATAAAATATTGACATTTGGCTGTATTGATAATTTAATTGTGAAGACAGAATACCAAGCTAAAATCTGCAATTTAATTCCCTTTTCAGTTATACAATTAAAAGGGTTAAATTACATGATTTAGCATTCACAGCAATAGATTTCAAATCAAATATAAACTTAAGTTACCCAAAGAGTCCAAATCATATCTATTCCATGTTTAGCAACTTCTACTATGACATTCAAAGCAAACGGTAAAATGCCAAATTTCTCAAGAAAAAAGTGAGATCTATCAGAATGCAAATCTTTTTAGTCAGAAGAATGGCCTTGATATCCCACTGTGCACAGAAGAAACAATATATTTATGTACTCACAAATATTATAAATTACATTTATAATATATCAATGTACTCTCAAATATTATAAATTACATTTATGTGAAGGGCAGGGTAAAATCTGTTTTGTTGTTATCATACATCAATCTTTAAAAAGAAGCAACTTTTAACTTGTGAAAAACAATAAATGGTCAAGTAAACTGATTTAAGCCTTTTTAATATACACAATGTATGTTCTGTATATTTATTATTCTCCTTTTAGAAAATATAAACATTTTAATTAGTAACTTCTATGACATTACACTAATCACACTGAATGTGTATCATAAATATCTGAAACTTATCAGCTTATGTAACATGTATATTGTACTACATACAATATGAGTGACATGTTTATTGTACTACATACAATATCATGTAACATGTGTATTGTACTTTTTAGTTTGACAAAAAATAAAATACTAGTGAGTTTAATTTCTGGTTACCCTGTATTTTTTGAGTACCAGTTGACAAGGGCTTGAATAAAAGGAACTGTCTAACCTGTCAAATGCCACTGGCTAAAAGTGTTCAAATTGGCAGGTGTTCCAGTGATCTCCCCAGGATATTTTCTCAGGTGGGTGCAAAAATTCTCATTTTCACAATTCAAACCAAAATTGGTCAAAATATGCCGATTTTCCATAATTTTTCTCAAATTCAAGTGGGTGCAAATGGATTTTCAGGTGGGTGCAAGCTTATTTTCAAAATCTCATGTGGGTGCTGTGCCCACTTGCTTTAATACTGGGGAGATCATTTGTTCACATATAAAGGTTCTTTAACATGGGAGTCTCTGAGAGGCCAAAAGGCATTCTCATGTCATAAATGCTCATTTAGTACTAATATCTACTGAAATAAGTACTCATTTAGCACTAAAATGCCATGAGCACTATTTTAGTACTTGGCATATCTCCATGTATACACAACATTCTACAAAACATGTGACATGTATAGTCTTACCTTTTTTCTGTTCTAAACCAGGATTGAGACATTTCTGTAGGAGATTCCATTTTTGCATGGTGACTGTATTTGCCTTCTTGTCAAATATACAATCCTGTAAAATATACAAGTATAATACATATACACTACCCAAAATTAAGGCCATTAATTTCTTCAAGCACCTTACGGAGTTGATTTCCAAAAGTGCATTCAGACTCAGAGAGAACATTTTTATTACTGTCTACATTTCATTTCTTGATAATTCCACTAATTTCCATTCTATGCATATCGTGAATGAAAGTACATTATGTAAAATTTTGAAGATGATTGGTGCATATTTAATAAAATGCCTGCACCAGTCCTGTTACTTTTGGAACACCCTGTACAAATCAAACCATGATGAACCTTACTGTTTTTCTTGAAAGTTACAAAACCTACCTCCCAATCTTCTAACGTGGTGACGCCTATAAACACTGCCGCTATAATGTAGCACATTTTCCATATAAGGTAATCAGATCCATAGTAGGCGGCACCAACACCCAGTGATAACAGCGCTGCAATAGACAATGATAGTCATTTTGTTGGCATAGCACAGTGTGGAGAGATTTCTCACTATCTTTCAGATTTCAAAATACATCAAAAGTTAAATCGTACATAACCTTTCAACTATAATATCCAATTAAAAGTCTCTTAGCTAGATTGAAAACTTTAGATAAAACCATTCTATTTTTCATAGGGTTCTGCTTTTATATGTACAAGTATTTGTAACTTCAAAGTGAGTGTAGAAATTAAAGCTTATAAATCATGAAATCAGTTTTGTATAAAAAACCTCCTACCTCATACCCATATATAATCTTTAAAATTGAACCCTTCAATGACTGTATCATGTTCCACGTAGGTGGGTAGGTGGGTATGAGGTAGGAGGTTTATTATACAAAGCCCATGAAATCCAAAAAGTGCTATGTGGATATACAAACCTATGACTGTGCTCCATGATCTGATACTAGGTTCCCGGCAGAGATGTAAAACCTCTGTTGTATTTTTCTTCACGTTAACATATCCCATGATTGTCTGAAACATGGAAACAACAGTTAATCTTTGGTGGCCTCCTCAAGAAAGAGATGCTCTTGTTGTGTTGTGCTATATGGGAGTTATGAATAGAAAAAGACCTAGGGCATATTTAATACATTCTATTTCATAGATGTGCAAAGGGGGAAACTATGAAATATTGGCTGAATTACAAACTCAAAAAGTAAAGCGAACAACTGTGAGTGTGTGTGAGTGAGCAATAAGATTGCTAAAATGTTTGTAAATGTAAAAAATTGAATGGGATAAGAAACTAGAAAACAGCAACTGCACTGGGTAGCAAATCCCAATGAACATTATAACATATATGAACCTGTATTTGTCACAAAAAATATAAACATCGGAAACATTAAAGAAGAAATTTTCGTTTTTAATCGCAACAATTGAAAGCCCATGATCGCAATATTTGCGTGTAATATTTAACTTATTTCAACCGTCAAATTATTGGTACTTCTGGGCCAGTCAAACAGGGAATCCCTTTTTCAATCCAACCTTCATCTTGAAAAGTGATGGAATCTCTCTCGATCAAAAACGAAAATTTCTTCGTTCTGCCGATAAACCCAGACAATTGTGGATTCAACTGCACGAAAAGAATGTTAAAATACCAATTGGAATCTATTGAAGTAGGTATCTTAAGTGTAAGGGGCGTAGATAATTCTCCCAAGTTGTAATCGTACAGGCAAAAGATTGGGCTCGTTCCAGGACTATAGTCCTGGCACGGGATAAGTATCTCTGAGCTGAACTAGAGTTCCCCATGACCACTTTTCAGAGTGGGTGTGGCATCGTTGCCAAAGGTCTCACATAGTCTGAGCAGCATTCAGTGATGGTCTATAACAGTATTTAGAATAGATGGTGCTCACTCTGCTTTATTTATCGCATCCTAAACCCCTTTAGATTGTGGTCGTACGTGCGAATCATTGGTCAGTCAATGTTTTTACAAAGTTGGAGAAAATACTATGCATTGCACACCTAAATGACCTACCTAGATACATTAGTATTTTAAAATTCTTTTTATGTTGTTAGATCACCAATTGTATGGGTTTATCGGCAGAATGAAGAGATTTTAGTTTTTACATCGGAAATATATCAGCAATTTTCAAAATGTCGGAAGGGGAATTCCCCAGGGATTTCCCTTATGACTGGTGCATGCCGGGAACTGAATGGAGGAATTTGATGGTTGAAATAAAATAAATATTACATGCAAATACTGCTATCAAAAACGAAAACCTCTTCGTTCTGCCGATAAACCCACACAATTGGCGATTCAACTACATAAAAAGAATTCTAAAATACTAAGGAATGTATCGAGGTAGGTCATTTAGTTGTGCAATGCGTAGTATTTTCTCCAACTTTGTAAAAACATTGTCTCACCAATGATTCGCGCATACGACCACAATCTAAAGTGGTCGTAGAATTCGATAATGCTTTATGAGATATGAATTGAAAATTGTATTATCATCATAATATTCTCAAATAGGTTTTACTACTGTGTGTTTCATCCGAACAAAAAATACATCCTCACAGTATTTTCACAAACCCGTCTCTAGAAAGATGGCTTTGTGTAAATTAAGTAAATTCATCCATTCAATCCCCGGGGATTAACAACCCGGAAGATAAATTATTTGATGATTTATATGATAGATGAAGATTCTAAGCAGTAGCCACTAATCTGTGGAGATATTTGGTAATTGATACTTACTAAATGATATATCTAGGATGCTACTATCATTATAGTGATGTTTTATATCCCATAAGTTGATGTTTTTTTGTAAAATTGTACAGAAAAGTAAATATTTTGAAAAATACGATGTAGGTCAAAAGCAGTCTTGTACTGAAATTATGATCTCTTCTGATTGGTCAATATTGAACGACCAAACATAGATAAATATTCAAGGTCAAAATATCTATATAAAACAAATTAAAGTAGACAAATTCAAAGGCATATATAGAAATTACAATCTTTAGTTAAAAGTAGTCCTCAGAATTATAATTTTACCTGTTAAATATAAGTCAAATAAGGCGTTGAGTAATCTACTTCTGGTGTGTCATGCATCAATAGGGCTTGTCAACATGGAGCAACCTGTAAAACTAAAGCCTGAAAGAAGGTAATATAACATGGTAATTACTCCTTGTATAGAGTAGGATATGTACCCAGTGTATAGGGAATTGTTTTGTTTCAGTTTTTGGGAGTTGACAAATCTCTGGCATTGTTTTGATTTGGTATAATGCCTTCTGTAACTTTCATAGTAGCCTGGAGAAGAATCAAATCAATACCATTGACATTGAAAAGATGACATTTCTTCACTGGGAGTCAAGAGCACATAGAGCCATTTACACTTTTGTTTGGTATTAAAAGTCCAGAAGGGAAGAAACTTGAATTTACCTCCTGGTCAGCAAAGCCATCTTGAAACAATAATAGCCAAGACTATAGTCTTCAAACACAGTTCATGCAAGGACAAGTGGTGAAATACATGTACTAATTACTGGGTTTGTGTAAAAAGCTGGGTGACCGGGTGGCCAGGTGACCAGGTAGTAAACGTTCCTTGCAGGGTTACCAACTTTTCTTCAACATATTTACGTAATCATTTTACAAAGAACCTGTAAGAGTCTGAATTTCTCTCTTTTCTTTTTTGAGGAGTTGAAGGAATTGGCATTTACTAGGTATCCATATCCTGATTTTATCTAAATCATATTTTTTCAGGCTAGTGCACTTGGATTTGAAAGGGGCTCCACCCAATATATCCTATCTTCAAAAGGTATGCATTATCCTGGATAAAATAAGTTTAATACTGATTTTAACAAGGGGACTCAGAAAACTGTGTATGCTTATTCTTCCTTTTTTACATGCAGGTTACTATTTTCGAGTACATCATATTTATGATAGATCCAGTCCGAGAACTATGAACAAGTTTATTTTGGCTGGTACTTTATTTGCCCCATAAAGATAGATACTGCATTTGCATTCAGATTATCTTCATATATATGGTTGATTTGTTATTGTAGATCCTACCCTTACTGCAGTCATTTGGGGCAAATGGTTTACTTGTGGAATATGAAGACACATTTCCTTATCATGGGGATTTACAGGACCTAGTCTCTAAGAATGCTTACAGGTGAGAATGAAAATGGTAATGCTATAAATAACAATGCTACTGTAACGACTAACGACCCTGGGCATCCTCCTCCGGGGAAAAATACGACTTGGAAAAGTGTTACAACACCACAAGGGTATTTAGTGAAGTGTTCAAGTTGATAGGTTTTACTCTGTACAACATGCACATAATTCCTGCGTTCATTTCTTTTAGTAAATCTGAAGTGGTTCAACTGCTGGATCTTGCCAAGTCTCATAACATGACAGTCATTCCTCTTGTACAGACATTTGGACATTTTGAGGTATGTGCAGTAATCAATCTCCAATATTTGTAAATGTATTTGTGAAATGTACAAGTAAAAGGGATGTCTGTTTATTGTCATGCATTACTCTGTGGAGAGGCCATTTCATAGTTGTTAATGTTTCAGTATTTTTCTTATTACAGTTTGTTTTGAAGCATGAAAAGTTCCAACATTTAAGGGAACACCCAAAGTTTCCAATGACGTTGTGCCCTAATCATAAAGGTATGTACTGTAGCCTTTGTATTTCACATTTCATTGTAGACTTTGCAATTAACATTTCATTGTAGACTAGGAAATAACATTTCAACAAAACTTCTACACTGTATAACGAGACCAATCAATTAGAATCTCATCGCATAATGATATCAACACTTTTAAAATACAAAGTTAATTTTGTTGTTGTTTGCCTCTCCCCTGTTTCAAAACTTGAGAAGTAGGTAATTTTTCATTCACATTACTCATTTATCACAAATGAAAAGTCACAGTATTGGCTTATGAGTACATTTCTTTTTAACTGGAATATTACCATTGATGTTTCTTCACAGGTGCTGCCATCTTTTTAATCCCTGAATTTAATTGCTACACTTAAATAAAAACACTCATTTTATCACCTTGAACCACTTGGACACCAACTCTAATACCCAACAATTAATCTAGAACTAAAACTAACTCAGCTTTCATAAGATCTCTGACAGTCCATACTTTTTCAGCAGATATATTCACCGGGTATAGTCAATAAGTTATACGAAAAAGTCCATCATTCTAGGTGATGTATCTCTATTGTACTAAATAGAATTTTTATTGTCTCCAGATTCCCTAGCAACAGTGCAGGCAATGGTAGACCAGGTTCTCGAGATGCATCCAGACATCAGCTGGTTTCACATAGGAGCAGACGAGGTAAGAGAAAACCTGTCTTATCTGAACGCCATTGGGACTTTCACGGTAATTGTCATATTCAATTTAGAGCCAATTTCCAATATTCATCACTGTGTATTTCGTTTTATTTGTAGGTGTTTGATTTGGGTGTTTGCGAGAAATGTCGATCCAAGCTAGTAGAGAATGGGTCCAAGGCTCATCTTTTCTTCAAGCATATAAAGAATGTACTGGATTACATCAAGAGGAAATATCCACATTTGAATCTGATTATGTGGGATGACATGTTTAGAACTGTTGATACAAAAACACTAAAAGGTAATCAGGATTTGAGGAGCTGTCCATCTGTCTGTTCCTCCCTCCTTTTCTCTCATTTTCTCTGTCCTTGTGATAGGTCAAATACCAGTTGACAGATTTGCTTCAAATTGTTTTATTAGTTTATGCCTTAAGGGACCTCTGCTTTTGAGTGAAACATTGATAATGGCCGCTCAATTCAAACTTGCCACATTTTCACAAAGAAATGAAAGAAATTTTTGATATCTCAAATACCAAGTTAGATTTTTTCACAGTTCCTACAAATTTTAAAAGGTATGAAGTTTTAGAACTTATTTAGAACTTTTGTGTAGTCATGTTCAAAAAATATCAACTGATCCATATCAAAAGTGCCTGGCAAATGACCAGTGGACTGGCCCTTTGCTCAAGCCCTGCTTGTTTCATTCTTGAACTCCCATGAAAGGTCAAGACAGCTGTATTGTATTATCATCTTCAAAACTATAAATTATCTATCATACTCAGAGATTAGTAATCACTACTACCCTGGGGTTCCTCAACAGAAATTTCTTGAAGTCATGAATTCGTAAATCAATTGTAACCATGGATATAATGACATCATAGTTCGAGAACAAGGGACTATACAAATTTTTACTTTACAAGTTTCTGTGAATGCTCCCCGTTTCATTCCTATTTGAAAAGTAGCCAACCTTTTGAATGAGATCACCTTTTACAGATGCTGGTATTGGAGAGTTGGTGGAGCCAATGGTTTGGCAGTACCTTGACAGGTTGGTCTTACCTGAGGATCTGTGGTCAAGATATTCTGCTGTATTTCCCAATATATGGGTTGGAACTGCATTTAAAGGTATGGTTTATGGCATTAGTAAACATCTCTGTTACTTGATATGTACAATTATTGTTTTGGATGCAAAGGTTCCTGGACTTTTGCACTGAATCTTTGTAACATTTCTTTAAGTGCCCAAGATGCTACATGTAGGTGCTTCCACATTAAATAATCCAGACGTGTTACATTTGAGGTTCTACAAGGGTTGCCGCCATTTTAAATGATCTGGATATGTCAAATTCAAAGTTCTTCAGGGGCTGCCACATTAGATAATTCAGAGAGGTTATAGTGACCTTTTTACAGGGGTTGCCACGTCAAATAATTCAGATGTGTTACATTTGAGGTTTTACAGGGGCTGCCACATTAAGTTACCAAGATATTTTACAATTGAGGTTTTACAAGGGCTGCCATATTAAATGATCTAGATATGTTAAATTCAACGTTCTTAATTAAGGGCCTGCGACAATATAATCCTGATATGTTACATTTAAGGTTTTACAGGGGCTGCCATATTAGATAATTCAGATTTGTTATATTTACTGTTTTACAGGGACTACCAGTCATTATCCAGATGTTACATTTGAGGTTTTTCAGGGGCTGCCACATTGAATGATCCAGATGTGTTACATTCAGTTTTACAGGGGCTGCCATATTTAGTAATCTGGATATGTTATATTTAACATTCTACAAGGCCTAGGGGCTGCCACATTAGATAATCCAATGAGTAACATTAAGTAATCTGGATATGTTACATTCCAGGTGCTACAGGGGCTGCCACATTTGCCACCAACATTGCATACCACATTGAAAACCATAAACAATGGCATAAAGTCATGGAACTAGAGAAATCAAGATTCCAGAATTTCAGAGGATACGCTTTTACAGGCTGGCAGAGGTATGTGGCCAAAGAGGAATGGTGCAATTAGATTGGGCCATAAGAAGTTGATCCTTTGTTTTGCCCCTTTGTCCTGGTAAAATCCAAATCTTTCAAGCGTACAAGGAAAACAAACACAAACTGCACGCACAGGGATGCAAAACAAAGAATCAACTTCTTATGGCCTTAAGTTGAAATCTTATGCCAAAATACCCCTGATATATCTTGTTCTTATTGCCAAATATACATGAAGCAACTGGTTCATGATCAAGTTCTCAGTAATGAATTATATAAATAGGTGCTGGTAGGTAGTTACCAGTGTCGCCACTGTCAGTTTCAATTTTGAATATTTAATGATAAAAATCACGATTATTTCTACTTGCGATTTTGCTATTGTGTTTCTTGATTGACTCTGATTGATTAATTGTTTTCTGCTTAGGTATGACCACTATGCCACCTTGTGTGAACTTCTTCCCGCCGGTCTTCCCTGCTTGGCCCTATGTCTTGAGATAATGAAAACAGGTGCGGTATTGTAACAAAGATGGTCAAGGAAAGGAAGGGGGTTAAAACTGACTCAGAAATAGGGAGAGGGTTATCACTGAAATGCATATTTGCTCTTGGGGATTAATCATTCAATTTAATTGTAACTTTACATAAGACCATCCATGTCACTTCACACCTCTAGGAAACCAACTGTAATAAAGATAAGTACTTTGAGCTAGTGGGTTTCCTGGAGTGGTCGGAGGTCTCCCCTTGCTTTGAACCCATGTTTTTATTGTATATTCGATTATTTATCCATTTGGCCCAGTGCCAGTTGGCTTTATGCCCAGTTGGCCTGGTGCCAGTTGGCTATTTGCCAACCTGGCTCTTTGCCAAAAACAGGCTGTATATAAATAAGAATTGTGTAGCCTCAGTGAAGTTGATTTTAGAGTTGATTAGAGACAGTGTGATTTTGCAGAGTAAGATTCAGTTGTTGAGTTTTAGAGTATAATCAGTCGGTTACAACCAGGAAATTACTTAGGACATGTAAAGTTATATTAATCAATGAACAATAAAAGAAATAGAAATCAAACTAACATTTTATGTTACTGCCACTAGACGACACGAGCCACAACATTATATTTTATGACAATAATTTGTTACATTGGTGCCGTTGCCAGGATTTTATAGATATATTTTCTTAAAAACGAATCTGGGAGCCTTCTGTTAGAAAGTGAACACAACTCATAAAATGGAGGACTCGGTTATCAATACTAGGATTACCGAATTAGGAACTAAAATAAAAGTATTAACTGAAAATGAAACCAAAGAATTGAAGGAAGCAAATGACCTATTTGAAGAATTGTACGAATTTCCTAAACAGCAGAGGATTAGGTAGTAGGATTAGGTACAAAGTAGGGGGAGAATGTAACAAAGATGGTCAAGGAAAGGAAGGGGGTTAAAACTGACTCAGAAATAGGGAGAGGGTTATCACTGAAATGCATATTTGCTCTTGGGGATTAATCATTCAATTTAATTGTAACTTTACATAAGACCATCCATGTCACTTCACACCTCTAGGAAACCAACTGTAATAAAGATAAGTACTTTGAGCTAGTGGGTTTCCTGGAGTGGTCGGAGGTCTCCCCTTGCTTTGAACCCATGTTTCAATGTAACAAATTATTGTCATAAAATATAATGTTGTGGCTCGTGTCGTCTAGTGGCAGTAACATAAAATGTTAGTTTGATTTCTATTTCTTTTATTGTTCATTGATTAATATAACTTTACATGTCCTAAGTAATTTCCTGGTTGTAACCGACTGATTATACTCTAAAACTCAACAACTGAATCTTACTCTGCAAAATCACACTGTCTCTAATCAACTCTAAAATCAACTTCGCTGAGGCTACACAATTCTTATATATATACAGCCTGTTTTTTGTAACAAATTATTGTCATAAAATATATTGTTGTGGCTCGTGTCGTCTAGTGGCAGTAACATAAAATGTTAGTTTGATTTCTATTTCTTTTATTGTTCATTGATTAATATAACTTTACATGTCCTAAGTAATTTCCTGGTTGTAACCGACTGATTATACTCTAAAACTCAACAACTGAATCTTACTCTGCAAAATCACACTGTCTCTAATCAACTCTAAAATCAACTTCGCTGAGGCTACACAATTCTTATATATATACAGCCTGTTTTTGGCAAAGAGCCAGGTTGGCAAATAGCCAACTGGCACCAGGCCAACTGGGCATGAAGCCAACTGGCACTGGGCCAAATGGATAAATAATCAAATATACAATAAAAACATGGGTTCAAAGCAAGGGGAGATCTCCGACCACTCCAGGAAACCCACTAGATCAAAGTACTTATCTTTATTACAGTTGGTTTCCTAGAGGTGTGAAGTGACATGGATGGTCTTATGTAAAGTTACAATTAAATTGAATGATTAATCCCCAAGAGCAAATATGCATTCAGTGATAACCCTCTCCCTATTTCTGAGTCAGTTTTAACCCCCTCCCTTTCCTTGACCATCTATGTTACATTCTCCCCCTACTTTGTAATTATTTGTCCCAAATAAAATAAGGTATATAATGCAGTATACTTGCTGTTATAAATATACTTATGTACTTAAAAATAAACAACAGTGGATCAATTGACCAAACTATACCACTAAATGCAAACTTAAATTCCCAACATTATAATATAATTATTCAATACCATTGACTGACCTTGAGCATTCTAATTAATTAAAAAAGTTTGTTTTTTTTCTTCTTTTGAAACTTCTCAAAATGCTTTTGCTAGAATGCCTGTCTAATACTAAGCATAGAAACCACACTATCATCCAAGCACCCAATTACATTTAACCAAAGCTGCATTTGGCAATCAGACATTTAGGCAAATAAATCCTACAGACACAACTGGATCACCTTGTCAACCCATACTATATGCAATCCATATTGCGTTAACAACAAATTTTGAGTGACTCAACAAAAAGCTGTAGGAATAGTCATAAAAATATATCATAAATAGTGTATAGCTTGGAAATAGTCAAAATGCTTCTATCAGTCAAACCTATGACTGCTTACACTGTTCTAACCCATATCAATTTAAAGGTTCTCAAAACTTTTAAACATAAATACCAAGGCTCTATTGACCATATTCATAAAAACTACTGGCTTTTCCAGCCGTCACACATAAATCGAAGGATCCCTTGACCCTAATAGTAATACACTTAAAAGCAACAGGCTCTCTTGGCCTTATCTACTTAAACTACAGGCTCTCTTGGCCTTATCTACTAAAAACAAAGGCTCTCTTGGCCTCATATACTCTAGGCTCTCTTGGCCTCATATACTCAAGGGTCACTTAGCCTATATTCATAATATCATCATAGTTTACAAACAGCCTTTACATTACATGGAAAGAATAATGAATCTTTGTCTTTCAATATCACTACATTCAAGATTGCAACAAGAAGCCACTTGACAGAACTTTAACCAAGCTATACTTATCTAAAATATGAGATAAAGGTAAAAAGACACAGTCTCTTCCAACAAGTCCAAAATTCATCCTCATGTGACACATCAATGATTATAATTTGTAGGAAAAATGACATCACCTCCAGCATTTTTGCCAAAACATAACACTCCATAGATGTCTCCTTTTATAACAGCCTTGCAGTATTCCTCCATAATGTGCTTAAACTTGTCTATTATAATCCAATGATCCGTGATTCGAATATTTTAATCATAATTCCTGATGGAAGTGACATTTGTTGACACATTTGTTGAACAGTTATCCATTCCAACAATATTTAAACAAAATAAATATGACCCATTTATCCCTATTCTGGCTGGGTACTATCCAAATGATCTTGATTTAATCCAAATCTCACAGCAAATATAAATCCAGCATCAAATCATACAATATTTTGTACCATCATACTATATAATACATATTCATATTTTGTTGTCCTAATGTTGACTGGGTACCATCCACAGAAACTTGAGATAATCCAACTATTCACTGTAAGTTAAATAAATAAATCCAAATTCTCTTCTACTTGAACACGTGTAGATCAGGTGATGATTAAGTCCTGAGGTACAACAAATTATCAAGGAAAATGTAATGAAATGTATGATCCGCATAGATGAAAGGGTTTGAGCATCCAGTATAAGTCAGGGGATAATACACTTACAGCAAAGCCACAAATAAATATAAATATTAATTTAAATTGTAATGTTTGACTACTTGAGTGATTAAAAGTGACGGTCATAAACAGCAATAGATTGAACATCCATATTTGCTTTGGTATGGCCATAAAACAATCTAGTCCTTAAAGGTGCTATCAATTGCTAATCATATCACTTGTGTTAGCCCATAACTTTCCAGTTTATGACCTAATTGTTTATCAAATATCTGGGGTAAAAGTCATAAAAATGTTCTGAAATCAAACTGATGATTGAGATGTATGAAACACTGTTTGATTAGTACTAATTATCCTTTGTTCCGTATCACTTTATCCACACTTAACATATCACATAATAAACAGTTTATGGCTGATAGAAACCACACGATGTATCATTTTACGATTTGTGTCAAAGTCAAGCAGATACTTGATATCCAATATGTACAGTTTGATAGTAGTCATAATTATCCTCTATATTCTATTCTGTGTTTCCTGTCACAAATGACAATTTATGACACATTATTGAACAGTTATCCATTTCAACAATATTAAAACACTATAATTAATGGCCTCTTCGTCTTAATACCATCCAAATACACTCAGTAGATCCAAATAACAAAAACCACAAAATCTCTGCAATAGTAATATTGACGTTATCCTTCTACACACATTGTCACATAATGAAAAATCTCTAACAACAACAACAAGGTCCAATGTTCAGCCCATGGCGAATCATAACTAAAAATTAGAAGTAGCCTCAGAAGTTACAAAAGTCATACATTGTCAGTTCAAATATAATCCAATATCTACAGTCCAATCGTTTCAACATTCATCCAACATCCGTTTTTCTCACATCCATTGTTGGGTGCTTTGTTTTTCGCATTATGCCACCCTCTGGCCATACGGGACTCCAGGGTCTCTACTGGTGAAGACCAACACTCATAGGTTATGGGAATAACATCTCCCATATAGTTTGCTCCCTCTTTAAGTTTTAGTCTTGTGACATGGTTGGTAGTGGACCAAGCTTTGTGAACAAGCCGTTTTACATGCTTATTCTTGCTTAGCTGGGCCGAAGGCTTGTTGCGTTTTTCCTTGTAGACTCGTAGACGTGGTTTGTTAACTCTTACTCGATTCTTCACTTCAAACGACTTCAGTGTTTTCTTTGCCATTATGGCTAATCCCCTCTGTGTTGCATATAATGTGTCCACAGGGGTAGTTTGCACTTGTGCCTGCATTACATGGTTTTCTTCTGATATAACATCATATTTCTCTGTGTCACTGTTTTCCAACAGAACCACCCCTGCCTTCTCTGTGTCGGACCTTTCTACTGTAGAGTTGTCGGAGTC